TTTCGATAAAGTTCAATACTGTGCATGTTGTTTGACGTTCCTAACAGAACCCAACACTGGTACTCCCCGAAACTGCTATGGGAAGTGCATCAATCGCCTGAAGCTACATCCGGGCAAACTCCTGAATCAACGGACTCTGCTGAGTGATGACGTACGTCAAGTCACCCCTCACCTTTTGGCTTAGGGCGTCAGCAACGACGTTCGCCTTCCTCGGATGATACTGAATCGAGCAGTCGTAATCCTTGACGAGCTCTAACCAACGGCGCTGTCTCATGTTGAGCTCCTTTTGAGTAAAGATATACTGCAAGCTCTTATGATCTGTGAAAATCTCACAGTGACCGCCGTAAAGATAGTGTCGCCAAATCTTGAGAGCATGAACGACTGCTGCTAATTCCAAGTCGTGCGTCGGATAGTTCTGCTCATGAGGCTTAAGCTGACGTGAAGCATACGCAACGACCTGGCCATCCTGCATAAGGACGCATCCTAAGCCCTGTCTCGAAGCATCGCTGAAGATGGTGAAACTCCGAGAAGGATTGGGAATAGTCAACGCCGGTGCTGAAGTTAATCTCCTCTTGAGCTCCTAAAAGCTCGCCTCACAACGATCAGTCCACTCGAACTTCACAGACTTCCTCGTCAGCTGGGATAGAGGGAGGGCGATCTTGGAAAAGCCCTCGATAAACCTGCGATAATAGCCAGCTAGACCAAGAAAACTGCGAACCTCGGACGGACTCCTCGGTGTCGACCAGTTCTGAATAGCTGAGACCTTGGAAGGATCCACCTCGATACCTGCCTGAGTAATCACATGACCCAGAAAGGATACTCGCTGGAGCCAGAACTCGCATTTGGAGAATTTTACAAACAACTTTTCTCGTCTGAGGTTTTCTAGAACCACCCTCAGATGCTCCTCGTGCTCCTTCTGGCTCTTCGAGTAGATAAGAATATCGTCAATAAAGATAATAACGAACTGATCGAGGTAGGGATGGAAAATACGATTCATGAGGTCCATGAAAACTGCTGGCGCATTGCTGAGACCGAATGGCATGACAATGAACTCATAATGGCCGTAACGAGTCCTGAAAGCGGTCTTAGCGATATCTGACTCCTTAATCTTCAGCTGGTGGTAGCCTGATCGTAAATCAATCTTTGAGAACACACAGGCTCCCCTCAACTGATCAAATAAGTCGTCGATCCTGGGAAGCGGGTACTTGTTCTTGATCGTCAACCGGTTAAGATCCCGGTAGTCGATACACATGCGCATGGATCCGTCCTTCTTCTTAACAAAGAGAACGGGTGCTCCCCAAGGTGACACGCTCGGTCGAATGAAACCGAGTCGTAATAGCTCCTGAATCTGCGCCTTAAGCTCCTGTAACTCCTTAGGCGCCATACGGTACGGGGCTTTGGACACTGGACCGGCCCCTGGAATGAGATCGATTGAGAACTCCACCTGCCGGTTAGGCGGTCCTCTTGGAAGCTCGTCTGGGAATACATCCACAAATTCTCGAACGACTGGAACATTGTGAGGTGAACGTGCTTTCTGAGAATCGTCGACAAGGCTCACCAGATAACCCTGACAGTTGCCTCGTCGTAGCAACTTAGTGGCTTTCGCCATCGAAACAACATGAGACAAGGAACGATTTCTAGAGCCGAAGAAAGTGATCGACTCGTCTCCCGAAAGATAAAGCGTAATCTCCCGGTCATGACATCTGATATCCGCATGATAAAAGGATAGCCAATCCATTCCGAGAATAAGGTCGAAGTCCCTCATCTCGAGAACAAACGCGTCGGTAGACAGAACTCGGCCACCGATGGAAAGGCTAAGATCTGAAGCTTTAGCTGAAGTCACTATCTTTCGTCCCGAGGCCAAACTTACCTCAAGAGGATCGATAGCAGTAGTAGCGCGAACTTCGATGGTGTCAAGACATCGTCGTGAAATAAAAGTATGTGTCGCTTCAGTATCGAATAAAGCAAACACAGGAACATTATTAAGGATAACCATTCCGGACATGGTACCTGGCTGCTGTTCGGCCTCTGCCTGATCGACGGCGTAAACTCAGGCCTGCTGCCTGTCCCTCTGCTGCTGCTGCTGAGGCTGCCTCTGTGCCTGCTGACAGGGCTGCTGTGGTGGCTGCTGAGGCTGCTGCGCCTTCTTCGGACAACGGTTCGCGAAGTGTCCGGGCTCATGACAATAGTAGCACACATCCTGACCAAAGCGACACTCGCCTCGGTGAAGTCGTCCGCATGTCGGGCACTGAGGGATCTACTGTAGCCTCCGTCAGGTCCTCTTATCTGCCGGGGCACCTTTCCCCTTTCTCTTGTTGTTCTTTGGCGGCTGGGTAGATGGTAGAGCTGGCATCGGCGGAACTGAAGATGACTGGGCAGGGGCGGATGGCTGGAACTGCTCACGGACGGCCTCCCTCCTAATGCTGGCATCCACCTCCTGGGCAATAGAGACTGCACGTGCGTACGTTTGTGTCCCGTGGCCGACGATGTTATGACGGACTGCTGGGTAAAGCCCGTCAATTAAACGCTGCGCTCGCTGGGCCTCCGTGCAGACCAAATCAGGAACAAAAGCTGCAAGTCTCGTGAATTCCCTCTCGTACTCGTCAACAGTATGGGTACCCTGCTGGAGCGATAGAAACTGACGCTCCATCTCGGCTCGGTAGTATGTGGGGTAGTATTTCTCGCGGACTAAATCCTTAAACATCTCCAACGTACATCCTGCCTTCTCGCCGGGACGCATGCTCCAGTAAGCGTTCCACCAGAGCCTGGCATCACCGGTGAGCTGAAGCTGAGCGCAAATAACGCGATATCTCTCAGGACACTCCATGACCTCGAAGATAAACTCCAGGCCCTGAATCCACTCGTCAACTATGCGAGGATCTTCCTGCCCTGAGAACTTTTCGGCATGATAGTCGCGGAACTGGGCGACCACTGTAGCCTGAGTAGGAACTGGATGATCGGGTTCCTTACGTGGCGGCATCTGAACATTGAGAAAGTTCAAAATTATTGAACACGCGCTGATATTCTGACTGATTACTTAGGCACACAAATCTCTTGACGAGTAGCCAAAAATGGCCGATAATTACTGACGTGAAACCTGAGGAACTCTAGAGTCATATCGAAAGATACTAAAGTCTAGAGTCATGTCTGAGTGTACTGATCTCTAAAGTCAGGTTTGAATATACTGAATTCTAGAGTTATCTAAACTCTAAGTCTGAACCTGAATCGAGCATCTTAACTAAGTCTGATTATTGATTTCTGAGCATAGACAAAGTAATATGTTTATAACTGAAAAACTGAATCAGCACTTACCTGGAGTCGACGAGGCGTGAGCGTGACGGTTCAGGTTTTCTAAAAATTACTGACTGAAAAACCTTTCAGAGACGCAGAAACGTGCTCTGATACCAATTGTAACACCCCGACTTTTTACTGAAATCAGAGTACGCAATTTTTCGCAAATTTTCTGAATAAAACATAAAACATTTATTTTTGCGTAAACTGATTTGGGATGCTACCGTGAAAAACTTAATTTTTTTTTTCTGAAAACCGTTAAAATTTTAAACTGATAAATAAAAACGGTCATACTGTCTTATCCGACTAATGTCTGAACAAAAACTAAAAATGAGTACTGAAAGTTTTAGCGGAGGTCCAACATGGAAAAAACATATATATATATATATATATATATATAATCACAAAAGTCCTGAACAGCCTGCCCGTTCACTCCTCGTCTCCGACCCTGCGCCCTGAAAAACATGAAAACGTGGGGGCGTGAGCACTAAAACACTTGTGCTCCGCATAAACTCATACTAATGTAAACATAGTAAATAATAACAATATCATGAACTAAGCATATATAACTGAACTGAAACTGAAACTGATATCTGATACCGGTCTGATCTCGCCACATAAGTCACGTAACTGATAACTGAAATCTGTCGGCACAAACTAATACCGCAATCTCCCGGCATAAACTAATACCGGACCATGTGCACACTCTAGTGGTTAGATTAGGC